AAAAAAAAAAAACTCAATGAAATTTTTTCTTAAAAATAAGAATTCAATATAATAAAAAATATAAAAATTAAAACAAATATACAAAATTAAGTAAATAAAAAGTGTAAATATAAAAAAATACTAATTAAAAATTTATATATACGTAATCAAATTAGATTAATTTCCGAAAAAAAAAACTTGATGCATATAAAAAAGTTATGATTACTCAAAAGTATAATTTATAACTAAAGTATGGATAAAAATAAGTTTAATTATTTTGTAGGTATTTTTTTTTACTTAAAATCTCAAATAGATTATTTTGTTTTTTTTTTTCAATTAGATTTTGATTTTTGTAAAATTGTTATAAGACCCTTACTATTAAATTAAAGGGTTAAATATGTTTTTAGTCCCTAAATTATTGGCTGTTTCTGGTTTTCGTCCCTCTTTCAAAGTAAGGTACAATTTGGTCCTTATTCTTTTCGAAAAGGTTCGTTTTAGTCCTCGAAAACTAACCCCGTTTAAAAATTTGGTCCTCATTTAGTAACAAAATGAGGACTAAAACCAAAATTCCGAGGACTAAAACGAACGTTTCGAAAAGAATGAGGACCAAATTGTACCTTACTTTGAAAGAGGGACGAAAACCAGAAATGGCCAATAGTTTAGGGACTAAAAACATATTTAACCCTAAATTAAATCAGCGACATTAGTGAATAAACGTGATCTAGTTATTTTGTTAATTACGTTAATTTCATGGTTTTGAATTAAAAAAATTGGATTGTTTTAAAAACTTCGTACAATCAATAATTTCTTTTATAATTCTTTTAATAGGAGATAATCTTTTTATTATTTTTACTATTTTGTTCAAGATTGCAGCATTTCTAGAATATAAATATATAGGAAAAGTAATCATTACTACGAATGTGTATATACAATCCAAATGCATGTTAAATGAAATTACTTTTTATTCTGAAAATAGAAACTATTGAATATTTGTTGGAAGAGAAAAATGTATATTTTTCCTTTTCTTTTTAATATTATGCGATAATATATAAATCATTTGTATGTTTTCTTTCTTTTTTTTTTCTTCTCTGTCTTTTTTTTTCTAAAATAGGTATTATCTTTCTAACTATAGTCTTCTCACGTCTATCTGAGTTTTTCATTTCAATTTTTATTTATTTTAATAATACTTTATAGCTTCTTCTTTTTTATGTATGAATGTTCTCATAGTTTATATTTAAATTTATGTGTGTTTAAATGTTAAGTGATGAACTTGATATGCACATAATGGAGATAGATGAAAGTGAAAAAAGGAAATATGAAAAATAATAAATTAAAGTGATGAAAAAGATGATGATATATTTGTCAAACATTTTATATATAATTTAAAGTTTAATTAAAAACTTGAAATTACTTCCAAAATGATAACAATAGTTAAGTTGAAGTATTGAATGTAATAAATGATGATGTATTGAGTAATGATAAAGTAAAAGAAAAAAGGGTTAAATATGTTTTTAGTCCCTAAACTATTGGCCGTTTCTGGTTTTCGTCCCTCTTTCAAAGTAAGGTACAATTTGGTCCTCATTCTTAATATGTTTTTAGTCCCTAAACTATTGGTCGTTTCTGGTTTTCGTCCCTCTTTCAAAGTAAGGTACAATTTGGTCCTCATTTTTTTTCGAAACGTTCGTTTTAGTCCTCGAAAACTAACACCGTTTAAAAATTTGGTCCTCATTTAGCAACAAAACGAGGACTAAAACGAACGTTTTCGAAAAGAATGAGGACCAAATTGTACCTTACTTTGAAAGAGGGACGAAAACCAGAAACGGTCAATAGTTTAGGGACTAAAAACATATTTAACCCTAATAATTATTATATTAAACTATTATTTTATATTATTTACTATTAAATTTTAACATAATATCATATTAAAAATAAAATTTAAAATTTAAAATATAAATGAAAATTTATAAATAGGTTTAATAGGTTCGGAGGTCCCTATATTTGCGGGTTCGTTTCACTTGGGTCCTCCAATTTTAGAAGTGATCAATTAGGTCCCTAATTTAACAAAATTGAGTCAATAATACCCTTTCCGTTAAATGCAAGGGAATCTGAATGCAAATTAAACAGGTGGCATGCTGAGACATCATTTTATTTGCAGGTGGCAGAGTTTGAGCTTAATACGTGGCAATTTCTGCAATTTTTAATTTGCATTCAGATTCCCTTGCATTTAACGGAAAGGGTATTATTGACTCAATTTTGTTAAATTAGGGACCTAATTGATCACTTTTAAAATTGGAGGACCCAAGTGAAACGAACCCGCAAATATAGGGACCTCCGAACCTATTAAACCTTATAAATATTAAAAAATAAATTCAAGTTATATTAAATATTCCTAAAATTGGTTAAAAATATCAGTTTAAAATCCGCTTTTTTAATATAATATAAAGTTTATTCTAAGGAGATGATCTATCAAACTTATTTATTAATGTCAAATCTTATTCACAGTATATATAACTTAAAATATATTTCTTAACAAAATTCTAACTCACAGTTATAGTTATTCAGTTTATTCCATCTTACTTATTCAATCAAATCACTTAAATTTATTTCCAGAATACATATTTTCTCATCATCCCTCTTATGTTTAGTTTAATTTATTAAAAGCTATACACTTACAGTAATTATTAATAAGAAACGAAATTTTCGAATTTATATAATTTTCCAAGAAAGTCAATTAAACAATATATGTTCAAAAGAAATATTAATAAATGCTTTACTGGTGTATTTTTTTTATTAATAAGAAAAATACATTGAAACTTCAAGTTATTTCTTTCCTTTCTTGTTTGTTCTCTAAGAGAGCTAGAGGAGAACAAAATTTCTTTCAGAGACACTTTCTATTATTATTAAAACTTCTACAAAATATTATATTTTTGAATTTTCTTTTAGTTTTACAAAACGCAATGTTTTAATTTCAGTCATTGATACTGTAACAATATAGACAAAACTTTGGGAACTGACATTTCAATACCCTCACTTATGATATTTTACCACGTGATAACAACTTTTTATTTATTCATAAAAATAAAAACCAGATTATAATTAAAGATTAATTGTCATTTTTTGTATTTAACTAAACTTAGAAAAGAAATGGTTTTTTTCTTTTGTGAATTGAAGAACTTAAGATGGATAAGGAATTATAACTAAGTAATAGAAAATGAATAATTTAGTATAAACTAATTTGAGGGTAATGATACCAACTACTTGTATCTAGGAAAGTTTAACATACACATATAGATCTCTACACTAGTAAGATATTGTCTGTTTTGAGTCAAATCCTCACAAATTTGCAACTCATGTTCATTTATTGTTTTATTTAATGTGAGACTTTGTTTGTAACTAATATTGTATTTGCTTTAGAACAATTGTTAAGCATCCTTAAACAAAACATGATAATTGTTAAGTTAATTTATTTTTACTCAATTGTTAAGTAACCTTAATGATTATGGTTTTATATGACAATTTTTTGTTATTGTGTTATTATTTTAATGTTATTTATAAAAATTAAAGCATGTCTAAATATATTTTATAACTTTTATAAGGTTTTCCGAGATGTGATGCTAAAAGGGATATGATATTTTTGTTCATGTTTCTTAGGAAGTTCTTATTTTCCTTTTACTCGTGCCTTGTAAGATCCATTATTTTAACTTATCCAATTAAGAACTTTTCACGAGTGCCATTTTTTTTTTAATTTGAGATATTTTTTTTTATCAAATAATAATAATAACAACAAAAGTTATTAGTAATTAATATTGAAGAAACATAAGAATATATGTGCTCACCTGTGGAGTTTATTTAGTAAAATAAATTAAGTTACTAAGTTGTGGAAAAACTGTTTAGATTGTAAAGAATGAAATGAGTGATGTTTAACTAAAACACCCATTATTTAGATATATTAAAAGTAAAGGGAAATAGACTTCAATTTTGCTCTCTTGCAATTTCTAATCTATTTTTTTTATTAACAAGATTCATTGATTTTTCAAATTTGTTGGCCAGGTCGAACTTTTAATTCTTGATCTATTATTTTATTTTTATGATTTTCGTGGTCTCATTTTAAATAATTCATGATTTTAACTCATTTTTTAATTTTTAAATGTTTATTTCTTACAATTTAATTAATCAAACTGCTTTTATCTTAAACAAATATGATAATTTAAGGTTCAATTATATCTAAATAAAAAGATTGGACTTTTGATGTGTTGTGTCTTCAAAGACACCCTAAGGTATGACATGAGTAGCTCTTTCTCTTTACCTATCCTTAATCTCATTCATATGTACTAGTAGCTTATTTCCCAAGAAATATATTGATCATTGATATCACACTAGCTAGTTTCTTTAGCTATTCTTATTTAGAAACGTGTATCAACTGTCCAATCACATTCTTTGCAAAGGATCATGTTCATAATTTCAATGACAAATCCATTTGTAGGGCCAATAAAACATTCTTAGCCCAAAATTATTGTTGACACTATAGGGAAAACGTTGGACCATGTAAGAACACCAGTGACTAATGATGCCACGACAAGAGACACTTTTATTTTGTTTAAGCATCTTAGTATTATCACACATTACAGCCACACCACTAGCTAAACAATCCGCATTCTACTATGTATCTCAATCCACAAGCAAACAACTTTTAGCACGAAAACGAAAAAACAGATGCACATAATCTCAGGCCTAACCTTTTTTGTGTATAAAACCAAGCAGAAGGGTTGCAACTCTCCAACTCCAACATAGCATACACAACTGCATAAAGTTCTGGCTAAAAACATCATGAAAAAACAAGTTTGGTTCTTATCCATTTTCCTTTCATTTCTGATTCTTCCAACTTCTTGCCAAAAACATGCATGTGACACAGGCTCTGCTACGAAAAGCAACTTTTCATTTTGTGACACTTCTCTATCTTATGAGGACAGGGCGAAGGACTTGGTGTCACGCCTAACACTGGAAGAAAAGGCACAGCAACTAGTGGACCCTTCTGCGGGCATTTCCCGGCTGGGTGTGCCTGCTTATGAATGGTGGTCAGAGGCACTTCATGGTGTCTCAAACTTAGGGCCAGGGACACGTTTTAACAAAACGGTGCCAGGTGCCACTAGCTTCCCAGCAGTGATACTGTCAGCTGCAAGCTTTAATGAAAGTCTGTGGTACAAGATGGGGCAGGTTGTTTCAACAGAAGCTAGAGCCATGTACAATGTGGACTTGGCTGGGTTGACATTTTGGAGTCCTAACGTGAATGTGTTCCGCGACCCTAGGTGGGGACGTGGCCAAGAAACTCCAGGGGAAGACCCCTTGCTGGTGTCTAGATATGCTGTCAACTATGTTCGTGGCTTACAAGAAGTGGAGGACGAGGCAAGTGCTAAAGCTGATAGGCTTAAGGTTTCAAGTTGTTGTAAGCATTATACTGCCTATGACATTGACAATTGGAAAGGCATTGATCGCTTTCATTTTGATGCAAAGGTACATAATGTCTTCTCATAAATTAAATTTGACAACATTTTACGTAGAAATTGGTTAGGATTATGGACACATGGGGGTCATGTCATGACGAAGTTGTTTGAGAGGTATGCATAAGTGGTGTAGGATTTAATGAAGATGTCTGATTTTTTATGCATGATAACTTCGGGGATGATTTGCTATAATTGCTCCTGCTGCAGGTGACAAAGCAAGACTTGGAGGACACGTATCAGCCTCCATTCAAGAAATGTGTGGAGGAGGGGCATGTTAGCAGTGTTATGTGTTCTTATAATAGGGTGAATGGTGTTCCTACATGTGCTGATCCAGATCTTCTCAAAGGAATAATAAGAGGCCAGTGGGGTCTAGATGGGTTTGTCTTCAATACACAACAACTCATTTGTTTAGATTTATATTCTATACATAACAAGTCTCTGGCTAACTTCAAAATTATTTAACAATTTCTTCTTTTTGCTGGCCACGAAGAACTATATATTAATATAACACAATTTAAGGTCGTCATTTCATTGAACTTTTAATCCAAGTATCCAAACCAAGTGAAGCTCCCTGACCTCTTCTACTTTCCTCACAGATATATTGTTTCGGATTGTGATTCGGTGGAAGTCTATTATGATGCAATTCATTACACTGCGACTCCTGAAGATGCAGTGGCTCTTGCACTTAAAGCAGGTAGAACTATGGTTACTTACAGCTGCAGATTTTCTGATAAGGAGGAAAAACTAATAGTGGAAATTTTGGATAACTAAATGGTATCTTATCACGTAGGTTTAAACATGAACTGTGGCGATTTTCTGAAAAAATACACTGCAAATGCAGTAAACTTGAAAAAAGTAGACGTAGCAACAGTAGACCAAGCCTTGGTGTACAACTACATAGTTGTCATGGGCCCAGAGGAGAATATTCCTCTTCAGGCAGAAAATGATAAGTTAGTTATAGAGGAAGGACACGTGGCAGCCTTTCCAGAAAATGCTTTGCTCAGGAGGAGCACACGCACTAAGATGACCAACACTAGGCTGAGAGATTTCGTGCAAGGAAAGTAGGCTGGCAGTATAATAACAACTTTTGCCCTTTAGTGAGGGGGTGTGTAGAATGATGAATTGTCTCTTTCTCTTCTCATCTGTATTTTTCTGATTTCTCTCTCTCACCTCATATTCTCTAATTCTGTACTCATCCTTTACTATTGGTACCTATTTGCTGATAGAAGAATACAGTTACTGCCATTCCTCGCCTTTTCCTTTATTCTGATTTCTTTTCCATTTTTAGTACTGTCACCATAGTCCTGATGAGATTGGGCTTATTTGATGACCCCAAGTCACTTCCATTTGCAAACCTTGGGCCATCTGATGTGTGCACTAAAGACAACCAGCAACTGTCTGTAGATGCTGCAAAGCAAGGAATAGTTTTGCTGGAAAACAATGGAGCTCTTCCCTTATCCCAAACTATCATTAAAAAATTGGTTGTGATCGGACCAAATGCCAATGCAACAGAAGTTATGATCAGCAACTATGCTGGCATTCCTTGCCGCTACACCAGTCCTTTACAAGGACTACGAAAGTACATTTCTTCAGTAAAGTATGCACCTGGTTGTAGCGATGTAAAATGTGGTAATCAGAGCCTCATTGCAGCAGCAGTTAAGGCAGCAATTTCGGCTGATGCAGTGGTGTTGGTGATGGGATTAGACCAATCTATTGAAGCAGAGGGCCTGGATAGAGAGAACCTGACATTACCTGGCTTTCAAGGGAAGCTTGTGAAAGATGTGGCCGGGGCTACAAAAGGAAAAGTGATTTTAGTGATAATGGCAGCCGGTCCAACTGACATTTCCTTCTCTAAAAATGTCAGCAACATAGGAGGAATATTGTGGGTAGGGTATCCTGGCCAAGCTGGAGGGGATGCTATTGCCCAAGTAATATTTGGAGACTATAACCCAGGTAAGACTACTTGTACATGTTTATCAAATTCACATTTTAAGTATTTTACTTTTTGAATACTGTCACTGGATCGGATACTGTACAATCTTTAGACATTAACAACGGAGCATTCAACTTTAGGTGGAAGGTCTCCTTTTACATGGTATCCACAATCCTATGTTGATCAAGTGCCCATGACAGACATGAACATGAGAGCCAACATCAGTAGAAATTTCCCTGGAAGAACCTATAGGTTTTACAATGGTACTTCCCTCTATGAATTTGGTCATGGATTAAGCTATTCCACATTCTCCATGAATGTTGAATCTGCTCCCTCCACCATAATGGTTCAAAGCACATCCATTTCTGAAGCACATAACATCTTCTCTTCTGGCTCAGCCACCCAAGTTGAGTCTGTCTCCAAGGGTCAAGCTGTTGACATTTCCTCCATAAACTGTGAGGACTTGACATTTTTGCTTGTGATTGGTGTGAAGAACAATGGACCCCTAAATGGATCACATGTGGTGCTAGTGTTCTGGGAGCCAGCAACTTCAGACCTGGTGACTGGTGCTCCAATTAAACAGCTTATAGGATTTGAAAGAGTATATGTTACGATGGGGATGACAGAGTTTGTGACAGTGAAAGTTGATATATGCCAACTGCTAAGTAACGTGGATAATGATGGCAAAAGAAAGTTAGTGATTGGACAACACACTATTTTGATTGGTTCCTCCAGTGAAACCCAGGTTAGACACCACATTGATCTTAAATTTTCAGGGAGTATGAAGGCCAAGGAGTTCAAGTCTGAATGACTAGAATATGAAAGCTTTGCTAGCAACTAGAAGCCATAGCAGAAGTTACTCATGGTGTGTGGTAAGAATATAAAGTTGTATACCAGTTTGACAACAGTTTGTGAAATTGGAAGAATATTATGTATGGATCAGATGACATATAAAATATAAATTAATATATAGTTATATATTATATATAAGTATACAAGTATTTCTAAAATTTTCAATTAGTGGATGGTAAAAAATAACTTAAGTATAAATTTAGGAATCGTATTTCTTCAAAGAAAAACGCTAGAAGAAGGGCTTGAACCTTCGACCTTGTGGTTAACAGCCACACGCTCTAACCAACTGAGCTATTCCAGCTTTTGATATTCGTTCTAAAACAAGAAAATTTACCATATTTCTTTTATTATTTAAAATGTTGATACTGGTGGGCCAAGCCTTTTCATTTCTCTCGTCGTGGAGTTCACTGAGACAAATATCTATATTTATTTTTACACAATTAAAGGTTACAGATAATAACAGTTTTAAATTTATAAGCTATATTATAATTAAGTTTATAATAAATAAATATCTGTAAATATATAAATTATATTTTAGATTTTTGACTAATAAGTTAAATTGCGATTAATATTTTCTCATTTATTGTTTTATAATTATATCGAAATTTAATTGATTAATAAAACTAAAGAGGATAGATTAAAAGTAATATAAGATTAAAATACACAAAAGTTAAGATGGAGTCAGTATACAATCTATATTATAATTATTTTTTTTATAAACTGACATTTATGACTATATAAATTATATTTTAAATTAAGTATACATAATATATGTAGTGATACAAGTTTATTTTTAAATATTAATATTAATAATCTATTTTATAAATACTGAAATCTAGTTAAAAAATTAAAGAAGAAAAGATAGATAAGAGACTAAAAAGTTCAGAATAAAATTCTAAAAGTATTATAATTAAATAAAACATTTAAAAATAGTTAAAAAATAATTCTTAAAAGTACTCTAAATCAGCTAATCATCTTCATTTATACAAAACTTAATTAAAATTAAAGTTTTTTTATAAAGTTAAGTATTTTAATTAATTTTTTGTTGATATTTTTCATTTGATTATTTAAAAATTTTATATTTTTTAATTTTTTTCTTTCACTGCATAGTATAATTGTTATTTTTTGTCATCTTTCTTAAATATTATGCGATTAAAATAAAATAATATTATCATTAATATGAAATAAATTATTTTTATTATTTCCATTAAAAACTTACTGGACCGTTCTCTTAACGTTACGTATGTCAAATGTAGTGATAGTTTAATGTTATTGTAAAGATGAAATAAGGATTATATATAAAAAAAATATGACTTATTTTAACATATTTTTAATAAAAAATATATATTTTTTACAATAGTAATAACATTATATATCAAGCACAAAACCATCACACCTGGAAACAATTAATTAAGAATTCAATAGAAATCGAATTAAAAATATCCAATTAATTTATAGATTTAAAATTTAATTAACCCTCTATATAAATAGATAATGAGATCGTAATATTGTTTGTTTACAAAAGTTGTTAAACTCTGTATTATAATATTTTGGTGGAATTTCGTGATTATGGAAACCAAAGCTTAATGTTGGGTGGTTTTGGTTATACTACGCGTAATGTGATGCCCCCGCGGAGAAATTCATAAAGTCAAATTAAAGAATACTAATTAATTAATTTTAAGATAAGAAGAAAGGGTAGCTTTCCACCATATCAAGCAAAAGTCATGGTCAGAGTTGTTATCCACTCAACAATTACAACCTAAGAAACGTGTCAACATATTCAAACATCCTCAATAGTCAGAACAATTGGAAGGGATATATATTCTTGTTTCAATTTTATTTCCTTTAACAGATAATATATACATGTAGTAATAACTTTTAACGAAATAATCATAAACTTTTTAGGTAATATGAATAAAATAATATTTATGCATTTGTTTTGTTTTTTTCATTTATAGAAGAAATATATTAGGACTGTTTTTTTTATTTTTATAAATAAAAAGTAACAGAACAAAAATATTTAAAAAAAAAGGAAATAAAAAAGTGGTAGAAACGAAAAGCATATTTACTTCTTAAAAGTGTGGTGGAATGGAAGGATATGAATGGAATAATCCGCGTTGACAATTTGAGCTGTGAAATCTGTGACGGCTCACAGCGCACTCCAGCAACATAAATATGTCCTCCATCGTCACTTTGAAGACAGAAAATCAAAGTTGAGTTTGTGAGAGAAAGAGAAAGTTAAGCGACAATGGAAGGTTTGATTCCATATCTGATTCATGCGATGAAGAAGCAAAAGCCTGATGTTAAGCGCAGCTACAGAAGCTTCTCCCATTCTGAAAGCTCAAACCGCAGCTACCATTTGCTGTTGGCATCTGATGGATCTTCTCACAGGAGAACAAGGTCTGATTTTCAGCCTCCCACAACTGAGTTCTTTGAGCAGAGACTTGGTGCTGATGCCGTATCTCCTTCTGTCAATGTTAAATCTTCTTATGCTGCTCAACACTCTACCAATATCACTGTTCGCCATCGCAATTGATGTCTTCAACATTCATTCTTTTTGGACTTTCAGATATTATGTCTCTTCTAAGGTTTGATTCATTCGTTTAAGACCATGGGTCACTATCAATTGTAATCTTATTGTGTATACTTCTGATCTTGTGTAACCACACTCTGTAATCAATGAATATTAAGAAATTTCAAGAGAAGCTAATCTCTTTTCTTCAGTTACAGATCAAACTTCAGTAATAATTGGTACAATCGATGGAATTTGCTTCGTTATTTTGGTTATAAAATTATGTTTTTACTTTTATATCGAACACCAAAAAAAAAGATAAACTCTCTACTCTTATATAATTCTATTCATCAAAACTTATTGATGGACTTGTATAATAGAAGTCTAAATATATACACAGTTAAAATAATAAATAAAAAGTATTCTACTCTTTTTTAGACTTTTTACTCCACCTAAATATTTATGTATATATGATCCGATACCCAGAATAATTTATTTATCACATTTTGCAAAACAAATAACAAAATGTTATTGACATAAACTTTTAAGGTAATGAAATATACATAAAAATATATTATGATTATCAAATTAAAAAAATTTAATTTCATCCAAACACCAATATACAAAATTCATTAAAATCATTTAACAAATAAAATATCAATTAAAGTTATCATGAAGACTCATTAAATATGATTCACTATAGACTAGCATCTTATTTAAATCAGTGTTTATATGTATAAATGAACCTAAAAATAATGAATCATGATAAGTTCATCACAACTTAAGTTTGTATATCTACAATGCTATGGTGTGCAAGCACTCCACACTTAACTTCTTACCACATGATAACTTAGTTAGATCATTAGTGAAACTCATGACTGTTAAGACAATTTATTTAAAAATTACTGTCACATATATACATACATACATATATATATATATATATATATATATATATATATATATATATATATGTATGTGTTTAAGTTTACCTTTAATAGTGATATTAATATATAAATTAATAAATCGGAAGTTTAGAAAAGTCCGGTTGTCTACGATCATTTCTCGTTAACAATACAGTTTCGCCACGTATTAAGATAGATCAAAATGAAACGCTTGCAAATGTGGTGATAAGTATAATTCTGGCCATAACTGGCGTTACGTTGTTTTGTGAAATTCGTTGTCTTCTTGTTTCTAGTTGGAAAACTTTGGGTACGTAGTTAATAGTGATAAAAGAAAACACTTTACAGTTCACGAACATGTAATCCTCCTCACACAGTAGCAAATGTGAAATAGGTAGACGAGATGTCATAAACAAAAAGAGTCTCACTCTAGATATTGTTCTCTTACCAAAAAAGTAAATTGAAGTTAAAACAAAAACAGGTAATCCGAGCTTGTAGGTTGCATATTGCTCTGATGCCCAATAATCAAGCACCTCTGGAAATTGTCCGAAAAGCCACGACTTGATTTTTTTTAAGACAAAAAAGAATAGAGGCTTAGCAAATACGGCTTCCGTTACGAAGCCAAGAGTGCTTCTAACTTAGCAATCTGATCATCCTCATTCTTAGGAACAGGATCCTTGTTAACCTCTTGATACAAATCATGTTTCCACTTGTCTACTCGCGACTTAACGGGTCGATTAACTTGTCTTCCATTAAGTTTATCTCTTCCCCTGTAATTATTGTCGCCTCCACTGCCCCCAAACCTTACTCTTGACGGAAAACCATCCCTCCTTGCTTCACTCTTATTGAGTGCTCTGCCCTCTGTAATTTGTTTCTCGGGTCTATCCAGATGATGAGGATTGCTGCTTCTTTCCTCCTTCCTTTCATTCCTTTCCATAAAATGGTCTGTATGGCTTGACTTTACTGCTACCATTGGAGCTGGATTAGCATCTGCTGAATCCACAGGAATCTTCTTCTCCCTGAATGCTCGTCGTTTCCTCATAGTAGGGGGTAGATCGTCTTTTCTTTCGGCAAAACCATCTCTTTTCTGCAAATTATCATTCAGTTTCACCTGAGATTTCATATTTGTTTGCTCTCTACTCTGACCTGTCTCCAACCTTTCATTATCGTCTTTACCCTGAGTAAAGACTTTTCCTGCATGCAATGAAAGAATATTTTATGCTTCATTTCAGTGTATTGAGTCAATCTAAATATCATTCATGCACAATAAAGCCGAAGTAAGCTTACCACCAGCTTCCCTTTGTCCATTGCTTCGACCAGCCTGCCCAGTACTACCCCGTTCTTCATGCTGTTATACAACAAGCATAGGCAAGCCTAAGATGGTTATATATGGTGGCACTTGAAGGCATGGGACTGAACCAGAATCCGCTACATCAGCCCAGAAAAATAGTTTGCATATACTGAATAACAGTTAATCATATACAAGGAATTTTAAACCTATTAATCAAATGAATCTCATGTCATCTTGAAAATGATAATTGAGACATTTCCTTTTCGATATAGCAAAAAAGTAAGAGGCAAAAGTAGATAAATATAGCAACTTCTTAGTGGTAAGAATAAGAACTTGTTAGGATATTTACCTTGTTTATCAGTAATATATTTTGTCTAGTTACCTTATTTATCATGATTATATTATGTCTAGGACTACCCTATTTATCATGTTTCCTTATCTCCCTCTCTCAATCTCAACTCTGTCATTTTGAATAAGTGTGGGAAAGCAAATGATTTGATATCATACAGGTCGGACAACAACTATGCAAGTATAAACTACCCAGTCATACAACGTTTAAACTAAAAAGAAAGTACCACTTGTTTTCTTTTGATAACATTTCTAGTTCACATTTCACCTCGAATAACAATACCATGTACCGATCCCATCTATCAATATTGAATAATTTGCAAGTCGGGACAAGTTGTATTGGTTAAATATCGAGATAAAGGTCATGGCCAATAATTTTCATTACAATTGCAAGGCCAAGCAAATGAAATCGCTCACAAGTCGTACCAGACAGCTAATGGCGTGAAACAGAGTAACAATTAGTCTATCACGTTTTTCTCCCTGCACCTTCCTTTCCCAAAACAATACAAACCATTTACTAGCGCCACAATACAACTGATTCTGTGCAATTGCAATCCAAGGCCATATGCAATGACTGTGAACTCAAGTTCACAACTAAATCACGGGGAATGACTTAACTAGGTCGTGTATAACATTAACAAATATAATTTTTTTTCTAAAATGACTAAATACTAACCAAACATTTCATGGGAATGACATTCCTGGGTATAATATTCAGGGGATTTTGCTCCTGGGAAAGAAATAGTATCCTATGAAACACTCACCACTGAGATAAGTTTAGTACCTATTTTTAACATCAAAGAAATTTTTTAGCATTCGTAAATTACAAAAAGAAAAACTAGGGGATTTGACTCCTGGGAAAGAAATATTATATTATGAAACAAGTAATTACTGATATTAGGTTTAGTACCTATTTTTAACATCAGAGAAATTTTGTTGGCATAGGTAAATTACGACAAAAAAAAATTTGAGTAGAGAGCAAGACTTACAACTTCCTGATCGTGATTAGAGAGTACAACTCAAAATCAGAACAATTATTGGGAGAAAGTAAATAGTTTAACCGCTTAAACAGAGCAGGGGAATGATACATTTATTTTTTCTTTTATTTCCTACAAATCCCTTTTGGCTTGACACACTTACCAGGAACTCAAGAAGGGACTTAAACAGAATATAAACAAGATAAAATTCATCATAGAAATTTGAGCACAATTAGTATCATAACTCGGTGCCCTGAGAAATAGAAATGGCTCATGCATTTGTGACCTGGTAATAAGAGCGAGATCTTGATGGCTGAGACGAATGTTTGGATGGCTGTCCATGATCATTTGAATTTGATTTCTTGGGAGCAGAAGCATCGAAAGGTTCTCGCCTAGAATGATGTGGTGGCGGCGGGTTTCTCTTATCTCCACCATCAGAGGTTACTCTGTTCCTGTCCCTTTCTCTTTCTTGTCTACCATCCCTTCTATATCTCTTGGGACTACAACCCACAACCCCAAAAACAACATTAAAAAACGAAACCATCTAAGTATTTTCCCCATAACTGTAAGCAATGCATTTAAAATTAAGCCAACCCCAGTGTAATCGAAAAAAAAAACATGGAATTGCGATATTGGAACAGTTAACCCAATGCACTACGTGAAATGTTAGGTTCAAGTGAAAAGCAGACAATTGTTATTAGGTTGAAAATGGGAATGGGAATTGAAATCGGAGTGAGAAGAGAGAGCACCTTGGTTCTTGATCGAACTTGGAGTGGCGACGCTTGGAATCAGAGTCTCGATGAGACATTAGGTTTTTTTCTGTCGAAAATTGGAAAGGATTAGGATTAGGGCTAACCATGTTTCAGTTTCAAATATAGTAAAAGTGATTCATTTTAGATCTCACAATCGTCATTGAACACACTACCCACCTCAAACATCAAATTTGTTTATCGCATATTGAAGATATTATTACTTGAACAAATATAGTTATTTTTTTTTTTAATTTTAGTTTGAAATAAATCATATACATATATTATCTTGTTGAGTCTTTTTTTTGGTTAGTAGAATACACAACATAATTTAAATCACAGAATAATAGTCGTTAATTAAACCTTAACACTTTGGTAATTTCATCACATCCTATATTAATAATGAGTAGACTTAGAACTTCGCATGAATTGTATAAATATATAAAATTCAAATAAAATTATTCTATTAATGATAAAAGTTGGAAGTTTAATATCTGTGTGTGTGAAATGCTTTATCAAGTAAAATTTAAAAAGTGTAAAAAAAATATTCAAAATTTAAAAAATAAGTTAAGTTAATAGATTTAAAATTATTGATATATATATGTTAGTTTTATAAGAAGAATTAAGTATGTTAGTTGTTAAGCTAGTGTTTACTGCATAAAATTAACAATAGTGCATGCCTCAGCACATTCATATTCATCTTCTATTTCTTTGCTTTGTGGAATTAGTCTGTGGAGAAACATGTTACCTGGTACCATTTTTGAGGACGCTAAGGAGACAAATAATGAAACGAAAATATCCGATAGAAAAAGAAAGCAGAAAAGCAAAAAAAAAAAATAAAATTGGAGGGAGAAAGGAGTACGTGCTTTTGGAGAGTGTAGAGAGTTCTCCTGTGGTCAAGGGTGAATTTACGATAATTATTTCCATCTTACAACTTTTGTTAGGATTATGTTAGTAAAACACTAAGCTTAATACAAAAAACTCCATTTCATCAACACTATTAATGAAAAACATGGTTGAGATAAGTATGTTTGTAAAAAGTGATTTCGCTATATTAAAGATATAATTGTTAAGTGAATGATCAATGATAAAGTTTCTTAGAAAGGTTTATAATAAATTTATAACTAATTTCTTTTTATCTTTTCAAAAATATAAATTTTTTGTATATTCTCCATAATTTTATGTTATTATTTTGATACATCGTTGAACGGTATTGATATTGGGCATTAGTTTCATTGTATAAGTCTGGGAGCATTTTAGTTCCAGCCGTTGAGTGTCCTGAATGTTTTGGTGTTGAGTGACAATAAGACTACTGAGTGTTATCATTGTATTGTAGGTCAGAAGCATTTTAGCTCCAAGACGCAAAGTGACAGAAAGTGTTGTTAACACAAATTTTTGCAAAAAGAATAACGTTGAACGTTAGTATTATCTCTGAGCGCCCCTCTTTGAAAAAAGAGTGACACTTAGCAACACATATGAGCGCAAATTTGTATAATTGGATTTGTTTCCTTCTTTGGTTGTTTCATATAGATCTATGATGGAAGTGATATATGATTATAATATTGTTTATTTCTAATTAAGGATATGATATGGTTATGGACACCTATGGTGATGGTGTTGAAGGATTTTCAAAGAGAAATTATTTGTGGTGATGACTTTAGTGTATGTATTGACATTGTGATTCGGTAAGAGTATAATGTATTATACAATGAAGAGTAGCATAAGGTCTTAGTCTATGGTCATTGTTTGATCATAGACACGAAAGAGATTAACCTTGTGTGTGGTCAAGTGTAACCCATAGAGGCTAGACTCTACCGTGCTTATAAACTATCACAGGTGCACACCTTTAGTAAGTTTTGATATCAAGGCCATGTATCCCGATAATCGAGTCTAGTATTAATTTTTGTATATATCTATATGATTTATTGTATTTAATTCATGCTTAGCTTATATTTGATATGATTTAATTGTCTTAGAATAATTCTTTTACACATTAGTTTATCATATTGTTTCTTTTGTGCTTCTTGTGTTTTGTTTTTCTTTTTTACAATGGTTAGTTATTTAATATTTTATATAATTATTTTACTTTTTTCTAATCATTGTTTCTTTCTAAATATTGAATATTCGATAATGTCAAATTTTTTATAATTTCTTATGAAAGTTAATTAATTGATATTAAAAGAATATGAAAGTGGATATTTGTATACCCATTATCAATCAAAATGATGCAAAAATTTCATAATCGTTAAATACGATAATAAAGATAATTATGAATTTATACTCATGGAATAAAATAATGTAATTAACTTTTCTGTCAAGGTTCACTATGTACTCTTGTCATTCCGAATTAATACTAAGTAACTATAAAATATGTCTAAAATGTAAGACTTTATTCATGTAAACAACTTAATACTTATTTAATATTTTATCTCACATTTATTTATAAAGTAATATTATTTGAACAACTACTCCGAGATATTACCAATCTAAATAACTATATTACATTGATTAAATCTACAAAAATATAAAAAAAAAATACTATAATATTTAAGTTTAATGCTTAACGGGTGAGTGGTTTTCCATCTTTTATGTTTAGTAGTAGTGATTTCATTACTCCTCATACCTAAGTAGCCTTTATTGAATCCAATACACTATAGCCCTCTGTAAGTTGCATGCAAACCAAAAAATATATATAGTCATAAGTCAAGAAAACTTAAAAATATTCATGAATCTTTCATTTCGGTGGCAAAAATGAGTTGTAACACACTTAACAGTAGTTTATTATTTGGATTAAGATGGCACAACAGTTCATGGAATTTAAATTTTTTTAACCAATCTTTATGAAACACTATATATACATGTAATGCACCACTATATATGTGGCTGATGATTCCCACAGTAACTAACTAATTTTGTGTACGTGATAAAACTATATTTAAGCATGAAGATGCATTCCTCTTCAGATGCCACTTTAATATTTCTAAGTGTTCATAAAAAAATAAAAACCATTCTAGTGCTCTTTTAGGTTTATAAAATAAAAAAATGATTTTATTCACGATTCGATTAACTTTTAATGATAAACATTTTACGCTACATGCCAAATATTTAGTAATGAATATTTTATTTTATTAACAAGAAATAGAACAAACTTCATAAATGTAAGAGTTTAATAATACATATCAATAATCAATTATCATTTATACCATTTGTACAAGATAACACACAAAATAAAATTATAATACAATCAAATTCATAACCCATTTCTACCTTTCTTCCATTTTTATATATCTGACTTATTTTTATTTTATATTAGTCATGAAGTATTCTTTGTAAGTTGTAGCATAGAGCCGAAGATGATTCACGGGACATCATTGGAGTCCATAATTCGAATTATTCATGTATGTGCTTTCAACCGAATTATATATATTTCTTATTTAATTTGTACCTTTCATTGTATTTGAAGCTAAAATCAACCTTTAGTTTTGTAAAATTATTGGACTGCTCTACTAATTTTATGACAAGATTCGCATAGCAGTGCCACGACAAAACATCATTTCCGTTATTTTTACTGCAGTTATCATGTTATGATTTATATCTATATATCTTTAAATTACTTTCCCATGTGATAGTTGTCTTCATTTTATTTGTTTACATAAAATTATATCTTTATTAATTTTTTGGTTCGTAAAGTAGTATATTAGTGTCACTGTTTAGTCCAAAAATGAAAAAAATGATAATTTATTATTATTATAAACAGTTAAACTTAGAGATTTATTTACAAGTGATAACATATTTTAGAAGATAAAAATGATGTTGCATCCTAAAATAAAGGAAATGCTTCTTTGATTAAACATAAATAAAAAATGAACACTAAATGAAGGGTTTGTTTGATTGGTGAAGTGAAAAAGTTGGTGCAGAGGCTGCTATTTGCTGTTCACCGCCTCTCCTGCCCTCTGCTAATCTTGCTTTTCTTTTTGCTGTTCCCTCCCTCCTAATTTCCAGTTCCACCCTCTTTATACACTGTCAGATTTATTTATATAACAAATTACGTAACAAAATAAGAGATAAACAGAACAAGTGTATGATAAAATGAAAATATTACATCCACAAAAACTATGAAAATTATTACATTTCAGATTTTACTGTTTTTGTCAGCTAATTTAGCCTTTTGAATGTGTTGTATTGTATTACGCGTCTTCATATATAACGGTCACTGAGATTTGGATCGTTGTTTTATTCAGTAAGTTAATTGATGGTTGGTTTTTACATCCAAAAAATTTACTTTCAGCACTTTTTTGTTCTGAAATGGATATTTTGGAACATAATTTTAACATCTATTCGAAAATATAAAAAAGACAATAATAGATTCTTTGAACAAAAGACAAAATGTAGATCAACTGATAAACTACTTTGATTTGATTAGACTCATACAATTAAATCAGCCTTTTCTATGCAACAAATTGCTTAGAAACAGTACACAATACAAAATAAAAACAAGGAAAACATAGATAAGGCGATTTTCTGACTCACAAGTAATGCATTTAGCTCTACTTAATTATTATAACCGGTAAAAGGTGCATTGTGTAAGAGAGGTTTTTCTTTTCTTTTGTTTTCTTTTGCAGTACCAGGGGAAGTTCTTTATGTATTACACGGTTTTCTGCTGCAATATATACCCCTGATACTAACTTGAAATTTATACTTCTTTGATCAGTGTAAAGATGAAAGGCTGCGACTTTTTGTTCATTACCATTTGCCTTTTACTGATATTAGGTTTCTATCCGTGCCTTCATTCCCTCTCTGTCAATGCCAGACACTTATTCATTCTCTCATACCATTTCTAATATATATTCTCAACATGTGCAGGGCTTGGCGTCCATACTTTGTCTTATGATTATTCTGCTACCACAAAGGTAATAACGTTTCCTCACCAATGGTTTCATTTACTATAATCTGGAAAGTTCACGCTAGAGCTTTCTTTCTGAGATGAAAAAGATGTTTTCTATGTCATTTTAACAAATTCATTTTATAAATTATAGCTTAAACCAGACTAGATTTGGCTATGTGGTAGCTTCTGTCAGCGGTTAGTACACAAACTTACTTGTGTTGCCTTTAACTTGAAAATATGCAGTGTTTAGTAGAACCTGAGAGAGCGCAGTATGGAGGAGGAATTATAGTAAATCCAGAATTTGATCACAACATAGATAGTTGGAAAGTGTTTGGAAAAGGGTCAATCAAGGAACAGATATCGAATGAAGGCAATAGATTCATTGTTGCTCACAACAGAACACAACAGTTGGATAGTTTCTCTCAGAAGGTCCAACTTCAGAAAGGCATGCTATACACCTTTTCTGGTAGCTTCACTTTCTCCATTGTTTGCTTATATCACATCTCTTTCACTAAGATTCATTTAAGGAATGTTTTGACATGGATGCACCACTTTTCTGAAACATTTTGAATGATCGTTTTTCTCCTTTCTCCATATTCAGCTTGGTTTCAGGTGAGTGAAGGAAGTGACACGGTGTCAGTGATGTTCAGAACAAAAGAAAATGAACTGGTACGAGGTGGCCAGGTGATAGCAAAACATGGATGCTGGACCCTTCTAAAAGGTGGCATAGCTGCAAACTTTTCAAGCCCTGTTGAAATTCTTTTTGAGGTGAAACACATTCTGGATTTATACCTACCATTCTTTCAGCGAGAAAACCGTTACTGGGACCAAAATGAAAATCAAGATAGATATCAACAACAACCAAAAACATAATTATACCTGCCTATTTTCATCTTGTCTTAGTTTACATGTTTCCTCAAAATTCAACTGAAGTAATACTACAGGGCACCAATTTGTGGGAATAAAATGCATGTAAAATTAAAGGAATTATAAGTTTGTGAATTGCGTGAGATAACTTCATTTTGTGTGTATTTTGATATATGTTTCGTTAGCTAAAATTTGTTGAACCCTGTAGAGCAAAAACTCAACTGTGGAAATATGGGCTGACAATGTCTCGTTACAACCATTCACGAAAAAGCAGTGGAGATCACAACAAGATGCCAACATTGAGAGGGTAAGCTTATAAGCAAATCCCACCCTCTTCACAAAGTCGTGAAATTTAAATCAAACTCAATCTTACAAAACGGGTTTGTACCCACTTATTTTTAGTTAACCTGGGACTTCTAACATTAGGGAAAGAACCATTGCATTTATTTTAATACCACTACTAAAATGAAATTCACCAATTGTTAGTCAAGCATATGGTCATTATTAAGAGTATGACAGCAGTAGCAAACCAAATTGCATAGACAAAATCAGTAGCATAGACAAAATCAGTGGCAGTAAATAGTAGACTATAAAATACATTTCTTTTTTGTTGTCTTACTTTTTATTTTCTCTTTGATCTTCTAAATTTACCCTGGTCTCTGAAAATGTGTGTGTGGGACTAAATAATTTTTTGTCAATTTACCATACTAACAACGCTAAGTTGATTGACTTAACAAACATCCATGTAAGCTGTCACAAATTGTCATGTGTGTTACTTGATCAAAGTATAAATCTTTGAACTTGGGACCAAATTCAAACTAAAATTAACATAAGAACCAGAAAGTATTTGAACCTAATTCGTACAAGGAAACAAAAGTTACGTCTTGATATAAAACATGCAGGTACGTAAGAGGAGAGTGAGATTCCAAATAACCCGTGTAAATGAAACAGCATTGAAAGGAGCTACAGTCATCGCCACACCAGTAAAGTTGAACTTCCCATTTGGATGTGGAATGAACCATTACATCCTCACAAACAAAGACTACCAGAATTGGTTTGTGTCTAGGTTCAAATTCGCAACCTTCACTAATGAGATGAAGTGGTACAGTACAGAGAAAGAGCAAGGCGTGGAAAACTATACTGTCGCAGATGCCATGCTGAAATTTTCCAAAGAGAATGGCATTTCTGTGAGAGGCCATAACATTTTCTGGGACGATCCAAAATATCAGCTTGAATGGGTCAAGACCCTATCACCTGAGGATTTGAAAAAAGCAGCAGCAAAAAGAATGGAATCTGTGGTTTCAAGATACAAAGGACAACTGATTGCATGGGATGTGATGAATGAGAATCTCCACTTCCACTTCTTTGAGGACAAACTCGGCCAAAACGCCTCTGCAGAAGCATATGCAACAGCTTACGAGCTTGATTCAACGCCAAAAATGTTCCTGAATGAGTATAACACCATTGAATATAGTGGGGATGAGGCCTCCAGCCCTGTCAACTATATAAAGAAAATTAAGGAGATTCTGTCGTTTCCAGGAGTTGCTGGAATGTCAGCAGCAATAGGGTTGCAAGGCCATTTTGCAAGTGGCCAGCCAAACCTTGCTTACATGAGGTCATCTCTTGATCTTCTTGCTACAACTGGACTTCCAATGTGGCTCACAGAAGTCAGTGTGGATCCACAACCAAGTCAGGTATTTCCTTAACTTCAAAAAATATTTTTATGAATTTCTCCTTCATGAACCAACTTTACCTTGTAACATTACACATTAAGTCATGGTGTAGAGTTGGTTATAAAGTTTATTAAAATAAATTAAACAAAAGGTGTATTTTGATAAATCAGAATACACTATCAGCCGGTGTAAGCAAAACAGTCCTATATTTTCACTAAATCACACAACGTCATGTGTGTACTGTAAGTTTGCTGGTATTTTTAACAAGTACCTTAAAAGTGATAGCTATAACAGTTTCTGCTGAATCAGTATATTTTTTTTTTTCTGATACAGTATGGAAATTACTCATCAAATTATTTCCTTTAGTTCTTCTCAAAGACCCCTAAAAGCAAAAGGGATAAACTTTTATCTTTTTATCTATTAAAAAATAGAAAAAGAAAGAAATTTCAGTGTACCAGCATGGTGACTGACTGCACTATCTTTACTTTGCTCATTCTGGTTTGCTGAATAGGCAGAGTATTTGGAAGAAGTACTGAGAGAGGCGTACTCTCATCCTGGTGTTGATGGGATTATAATGTTTTCTGGTCCAGCACAAGCTGGTTTCAATGCCACTACTCTGGCGGATGAGAATTTCAAAAATACTCCTGCTGGAGACGTTGTGGACAAGCTCATTCGGGAGTGGGGGACTGGGCCTAACATTGCCACAGCAGATGGCAGAGGAATCGTAGATATTTCACTGCACCATGGAGATTATGATGTAACTGTCACACATCCTCGAATCCACTCCCCTAGAAAGTTGAATCTGAGTGTAAAGAGAGATTTATCCCTTGAAACCATTCATGTGAAAATGTATTAATAAAATAAGATTGTAATATAATGGTCGTCAGCATCATGATTGATTTACCTGGTAAATTAGTAACATAAGTAGTTAGTTAAGTTGTTGTAATTTGTGCTGATAAAAAAAAGTTGTAATTTGTGAGATATTTTCAACTTAGAACATTAAGAGAGATATTTTCAACTTAGAACATTAAGAGAGATATTTTCTTGCAATTTGTGATGAATTTGGGCATTAGGAATTGTTGTAGGTGGCAGTTCATATGCTGATGTTATACGGCAGCCATGGGCAAGAGTGGATCAGGTGAGAACAATCTCAAAAGGGTAGTATTTGTGGGCCATTTGCAAGATAAGATTGTTAAAGGATGATTGTCAGAATCAGTACTCTAAAGTCGGAAACTAAGGTTAGATTGATCCATCAAAGAAAGGTTAAAATTCTGATATTTTCCACAATAAAACCAACGGACCTTCTTTTCAGTAATCTCTAAATAAAAAATATACCGTTTGTCAGAAACCTGCTACCAACCAGTGATCAAATCTAATAGAACATAAGTTCAAAGCAATGCTACATAAAAAGTTCCGTATACATCAACTGAGAACTCTTTTTCACAGTAAAAAACGAAAATAAAATACAATAAAGTCCAAACAACTAAAAAATTGTGTTTCTGATTGCAAAACCAGCTTTCCTACCTATTCAACAACCAGCTGGACAAACTGCAAAAATGAAGAAAGAGATGAATTATACTTAATTTCTCCTTCCCATTGAGATCTCCACACACAAACGAGATAAAAGTCACTTGTTATGGGTTGGATTTGAGTTGCTTGGAGGATTCTTCCTTAAACTTGTGGTTACTGGTCTCTGAGTGGCCTCATACTCTATTTTCAATTTTTCTATACTTGCAGAGCAAGAGGAGGCACGAGCTAGCAGCTTCCGTGGCGGACAACTGCGAATCCAATTACTTCTAGTTTCATCAGTGATTGCAACTATAGAGCAAATGAAGAAGTGTGCGAGAATCAAGACAAATAGGCCCACACGTTGAGTGGTTTTCATGGCAGAGTCTAGTGTAAACACAACAATCGAAGACAGGTAGAAAGAACGGAGCTCTGGTGCTTGGAACTATCCCATAGGAAAATAGCAAGGCGTTGTAGTTTGTGTCTAAGATAAAAGAAGGGAAGTATAGTGATGTATCTGAAGTGGATCAATCTTTTCTATTTGTTTGTTGGTGACAAGTGAAGACTATGAGACAATGAAGAAAAGCATTCAAGGTTTTTTTAGCAATAACACTCAATAGCTGTGTGAAAGAATCAGATTCAGGGAATTGAAGAGGAAGTAGAAGAATGATGCATGGGTTATTTAACCTCTGCCATGTTCTTTGTTGTGTAGTGGGGTAGAACATGGAATGAAAGGAGCTTATCATGTGATCCTTAATCAAATCCCATACTTCTGACATTTCCACAATCTTTCCATCACATGCCAATACATATCATGTGACTAATCACATGATATATTAATGGGTTTCCTCATTTGGCTATATTACTTTTCATTATACAGCTAAACCTAGCTGGGTAAGATCACTGTCTGGGAGCATGAAGCTTCTTCCTCCCAAGGGAAGTACCTTTTACAGCCTCTCCACACATGTAACAGAAACACTGCCGTGAGTTATAATGCAATTGTATTTTTTGTATAGAACTCAATAACAAACCAATTATACTTGCAGAACACATCATGTCTATGGAAGATATTTATTAGGGAACACGCATAACGTAACTTTTCCATGGTTCGCAGAATTTGGTGTAAAGGATGTAACCTTTTCTAAATGGTATTTGATAAAGGTTTTGAGGTTTCACGCAGATACTTTTATAGGGGATGTGGTATTTATAAATCAAAGTGTCTTTCTTGTTTAGAATTAAATTTGCATGTGAGACTGCAGGTTCAATATTCTTTCTGCTGAGGAAAACATATGGTCCATGTCAGCAAGAATAAAATATAATATGCAACAGCGACCTTAATAAAATATTTTAGTTACACTGACTAGTTTAATCAAATTAGTTCATGAATCATGTTCAGATGCTGCCCCCTTGAACTCAGAAGCACCTTTCTACATGGTTTATTGTTTTGTTTATGTTGACTGATTTCGGCATGTTTTCATCTACCTGACTGATTATGCAAGTGACTTCGATTCATAAGCTTGTTGTCTTAGTTGTCATCAAAAACTCCATAATTCTTCTTATGGTTATTTTGCCCTTTGTTTTGCTATTAGTCTAGTTTGGTCACTTGACATAAGTAAGCATTTTCTGATTGGAAAAGACATTTAATTTTGTAGCTTTAACAGCCAGACAAACAGATTTCATCATAGCAACAATTCCCCAACATATGAAGTGTAATCTCAATCATCTTCTTTACCACACCTGATCTTAAAATATATATATATATATAT